TTTGCCGAAAGTGCCCTCCGGCCGACACTCGGCAAAGCTTGAATTTTTTTTAAAAAAAATCTTTGCCGAGTGTCCTATTTCCGGCACTCGGCAAAGTTTGAATTTTTTTTTAAAAAAAGATTCTTTGCCGAGTGCCCTATGGCCGGCACTCGGCAAAGTTTGAATTTTTTTAAAAAAAAATTCTTTGTGGAGTGCCATCATTTCGCAAAAATTTGGAAAAATGGTTTTCGAGGGCCCATTTTTCCAACTTTGCCGAGTGTTGTGACCATAACTTTTCGACAGCGGGGTCCTTTGCCGAAAGTGCAACACTCGCAAAGTGACCCAAAACGGCAATTTTAATTTTTTTACATTCCATCATGACAAAGAAATTCATACAATTATATATATATATATCTCATCCATCACATATATATCTCATCCATCACATATATATCTCATCCATCCACACATCCATCCTTTATATCACATCCATCACAATATATATCACATATATAATAATAAGTGCTCAAGTCCATCCAAATAAATCCACAAGTCCATCAAAGTCCACAAGTGTATCACAAGTTCATCACCAAGTGAACAACAAATGCATAAAATACAATGTGCACTCATCTCGGCCACCGCGATGTTGTGGTGAAGGCCGATTCCATCATTCGGAGGTGTATGAGGTGGATTATTGAACCACCGTCCGATAGCGATCGCACAAAGGAGAAAAGATTGCATGTGAGACAAGATTATTTGGATAGCTAATCTAGGAAGGTAGAGGTCATACAAGATTATCGGATATCACATGAGAAGATGTCCTGGTTTGTAAAGCAAATGACGTGACCACGTGCACCAAACCTTCTCAAATTTTTATCATAGCCTCCACATACGATATCACGACATCTCAACAAGTTTCATGATTTTCGGACTTCGTTTGCTTTTTATAGAATTTAAAAACACTTTGCACGCAAGTTCAGCGGTCATGTTTCGTGAACAAGATGTCCGAAATTTGGGTCCATTCACGGATACGGCCTCACACTACACTCAATAACATGACTACCATTTTTGAATCATTAAATTCTATTATTCAGTATACGTGCAGTTCAAATTTATATTTTTGAAAAAAATTCAAGTAGACGAAATAAAGTAACTAAATATATCAAAAAGCCAAAAAAACCCCAAATTCTAACTAGGAGTTCCTGGTACCATAAAAGGGCTGCACAAAAAATTTGGAGGCCAAAAAAAATCTTTGTCGAGTGCCGGGGCATGGCACTCGGCAAAGGGGGTCTTTGCCGAGTGCCCAGAATAAGGCACTCGGCAAAGAGGTTTTGAATTTTTTTTTTAAAATTTCCTCTTTGCCGAGTGCCTTCCCAGGGGCACTCGGCAAAGACATTTCGAAAAAAAAATCTTTGCCGAGCGCCGTGTCAGAGGCACTCGGCAAAGTATTTTCCAAAAAAAAAATCTTTGCCGAGTGTCAGATCTGGGACACTAGTCAAAGAAATTTTTTTAAAAAAAACATTTGCCGAGTGCCAGATCGGGGGCACTCGGTAAAGTATTTTCCAAAAAAAACTTTGCCGAGTGCCAGATCTGGGACACTCAGTAAAGAAATATTTTAAAAAAAAAAACTTCTTTGTCGAAAGTGCCTAACGGCGGAGCACTTTCGGCAAAGAAGGACGTGTAATAAATTTACCGTTACGTGGGGCAGCCTATTCAAGTGTCGTGCTTTTGCCGAGAGCACGGTACTCAGCAAAGAAGTCCTTTGCCGAGAGCCTTTTTGCCGAGTATCGACACTCGGCAAAGAACTCTCTTTGCCGAGTGCAATTCTTTGCCGAAAGTGCCCGATTTTTAACACTAGACAAATATCCCGTTTCCAGTAGTGACTCCGCGTGACTCGGGCTGCTAGGGCGTGACCAAAAGGACTATTTAGTTTCACGTGCTGTTTTTAAATATATTTTTGTAGTTTTTTAGTTTTAAAAAAAAACTCACGATTTTCATACAGTACAGGTACATGCATGTACACTACACGCTTCACACAAACACGACACAAGGTACACAATACCAAACCTGCATGCACATGCCACTTGTTCATTTGCAGTGCAGCAGCAGGTGCTAATAATCATATCGATCGATCTCATTCTCACGTCCTAGCTCCAAGCTAGCTAGCATTACTTAGCTTCAGCGGTGGTGGCCGGCGGCGAAGAGGCGAGCGCGCCGACGAGCGGCGCGTTGGTGTAGGTGGAGGGCTCAGTTTGCGCGAAGTTGTCGCGGCTGTCGGTGAAGGCGTCGCTGCCGTCGGGCCCGCCGACGACGGCGCCGACGAGCACGTTGGCGTCGGGGTCCGACGAGTGCAGGTACCGGAACCCCTCGTGGCAGGCGATGCGCGCGGGGTGATCGCGCACGGACGGCATGGACGCGCCGCGGTGGTGCACGTGCCGCGGGTACCGCGCCCCGAACCCGACCATGTACGACATCCCCGCCGGGTTGGCGCCCAGGATGTAGTCCACCTGCCGCTTGGCGACGGCCACCAGCGCGGACGCCGGCACCACGCCGCCGCCGCAGGAGACTACGCCGCCGGCGGATGCGAGGGACTTAGCGTACGCGAGGAGGAGGAACGCCGTGGAGGTGACGTACTGCATGTTGCTGTCGCCTTCCTTGAACAGGAGTCCCCCCGGCGTGAACTGCGACGACTGGAAGCCGGCGGCGCCCGGCACTAGCGAGCACACGTAGGTGTCGGCGTGCGCCTTGTAGAGCCGCAGCGCGTCGTCGGACTTGCCCTTGCCGATGCCCTGCAGGAAGGCCTTGGAGAGGAGGACCTTGGTGCCCACGCGCTTGTCGTCCCAGCTGAAGGTGAAGTCGTCCTGCTCCGCGCCCAGGTTGTGCCCATTGGAGTAGATGTACGACAGGTACACGTCCGACGAGTTCGCCGGCGGCGCCGCCGCCGCCGTTGCCATGTGCAGCCACGCCGCCGTCCACAGCAGCTCGTCGATCCTGCATGCATGCATATGCATTGTTGATTGTTGTGGATTAGGGCAGTTAAAACTGTTTTGGAAAAGCTGAATCCAACTGAACTGAATCTGCTACGCCATTGGCTCCCAAAAGCTCAGAAAAGGTTGAGAGAAAATGCAGGGCGCGTGTGCTTGCCAAGAGAGCCCCAAGACAACAGATTTTGGATGTGCCACCGTCCCTAAAAAAAATGCAATTTTTGCACAGTATCATGTTTTAAGACCTTAAGTTTGACCAATTATATGTTTATGATATCAAATAAATAGCATCAGATTAATTACGAAATATATTTTCATACTAAATTAATTTAAAGACATAATTATGAATATTATTCACTAAAAACTTAGTCATGAACCACTTTTCGTGACACATAATCCATAGTTACATTCTTTTCAGGACGGAGGTAGAATTCAGTGCCAACGTGACTCTGAATTCAGTTCTAACAATTGCACGCAAGCAAAAAAAATACTGAAAGGAAACTAACAGAGACGACAAGGAGGTTGGGGTTTTGTTATGCGGAATAATTATGGTGAGTTGCTTGCTGCAGCGGCTGGAAAGATTAACTATGTAGCTTCAGCTCTACACATTGAGGCAATGGCGGCATACAAAAGTTTGCTTTTTGCTTCACAAATGGGCGTGCCGCGCATCATCTTAGAGATGGACGCTTCTGTGCTAGCCTCTGCTCTTAAAGCAAATGGAATTGATCAAAGTGGTGTTGGAGGCCTCATACGACAAGCCCAACAAATAATGCGATCTGAATTCTCATCATGTGTAATCTCAAATTGTAGCAGGTGTTGTAATAAGGTGGCTGATGCTTTGGCTGCTTATGGAGTGTATGTTGTCCTTTGATACTAAACTGTTGACCAGCCAAAGCTCTAAGTTTGTAAATGAACTTGTTGTAGGCGATTTGCCTCAAAGTTGTGTCTAATGAATATGTGAATAGCTTTTCAAAAAAACATTTCCCGTCTAATCATTACACGTCCAGCCCAACTTCCGTGTTGTTCTTCCTTCCCCTGCTCCAATCAAAGTATTTTGCTAACACATTTAAAATGTTGAACTTGTACATTTCTTGTTGAAACGATAATATACCCCTTTTCGTTACTGAAATAGTGCAAAATTAAGGCAGGGAGTTTTTTTTAAGTTGGACACTATATTTCAAATGTGGGCCTATTAGGACAATTTCGCTCTATGTTTCCAGCTTTAATTTGAAATCCCTATGATGAAGCAGGTGCACCAATTTATGGAGCACCCCCTTGCATCCTCCACCAAAATGAACTAGAGAGAACTCGAGATCCATGGAGCTGCCTACTACAAAAATTGTTGATGCTAGGACATCTAGGAGGGTTTATAAGCTAAAAGCACATAGAGTGGAATAACTCCTAATTAAATAGGGTATGTTTAGCAAGGTTTTCAGCTTTGGCTCCTCTAGAGGAGCCAGAACAAATACTTCTTTGGCTTGGTTGGCTCATAGTTCATTTCTCACATAGAGAGAGAAAAATAACTCTTACTACAGTACAAAAATGTTCCCTAGAAACCAGAGATACTTTAGAAGAAAAAAACTCCCAAACAGAAGAAGTCCAATTCTCTATCCCTTCCAACTCCTATATTCCTCGTAAAAACTTTCTTTTTTTCGAGGAATCGTAAAAGAAACTCCTATCATAGATTCGTAGGCACTACACGACATCCTTGAAATGTTAAAACCGTATGGAAATGTTGTTATTCACGGAACGTCCTGCCGCCGGCCCAATTAAACTACTTATTGATCTTGCAGGCTGCACAGCCTCCTGCGGCCCGGGCCGGCCCACTGCAATGGCTCAGAATACGCCACGTCACGCGGGAATATCCAAGTATTAAAAAGTCAACAAGAAATAGAAACCACGCACAAAAACCCAAAAGAGAGGGAAAAAAAAAGAGTCCCGCTGCTTGCCACTGCCAACGAGCGAGGCGAAGAAGCGGCCGGCCAATCCAGCATCCGCGGGAGCGCAGGGAGGTGCCGGGGGAGGGCCGAGGGCGCCATGGCGGCGGCGAAGGACGCGGCGGTGGCGCTGAGCAGCGGGCACCGGATGCCGGCGGTGGGGCTGGGTGTGTGGCGGATGGACAAGCCGGACGTCCGCGGCCTCATCCACGCCGCGCTCCGCCTCGGCTACCGCCACCTGGACTGCGCCGGTAAGCGAACTCCCCGGAACCCGACCGCCCACCCACCCCGCGACCGCGGATCGGACGAATAGTCGAGGTCGAGGTCGAGCCCCCCCGTGTTTCGCTCGACGCCGTAGCAGTTTGCGTCTTTCAGTCACTTGGGCGCTCTTGTCCTGGCAAGTGGCAAAATCCTTGTCTGGGGCTCCCGATGATGCAGGCGTGCTTAACAGTGCCCTACGCTGCTGATGAATGATGATGAGTGCGATTTCTTTGGCGATCTTGGTCCGCTGTACTGTACCGATCGAAAGCACTGATGAGTGTTTCTTTCGACGCCACATGACTGTCCGTGTCTGTGTGTCGAGCGCTGCTCGTTTTTTGTTTTTTGTTTTTTTTCTGGGGGGTGTTGACAAGTCAAACACCACACTCGTATATGATACTATGCTTGTCCTGTCTGAATGATGCGGCCATGCTTAAGACACCAAGCTTTTCGTGTACTCCTACATCACATGACCGCGATTCCTTTGCCAATAATGCTAACTAGAACGGGGTATCCAAGCACGAATCAAAGGCGGTTGCACCGTAACGATCAAATTATTGAGTGCTTCTTTCACTGTCACATGAGTGTGTTTATATGTGTCGATTAGGCGGTCACTGTGGGGTTGGGTGCGTCTACCGGGGCCTGCAGCTGATTCAAGGACGACAACAACAACAAAGCCTTTAAGTCCCAAACAAGTTAGGGTAGACTAGAGTTGAAACCCAGCAGAAGCAATCAAGGTTCAGGCACGTGAATAGCTGTTTTCCAAGCACTCCTATCTAAGTCTTTAGGTATATTCCATCCTTTCAAGTCTCATTTTATTGCCTCTACCCAAGTTGATTGCGTGCAGCTGATTGCCTGCCTAAATTAGTTTGGTAGTTCTGTCAGTCATTGGCCCTTTTGGTCCTGAAACACTAGCAGATTTGTACATAGTTGTCTCATTGTCTGAGAGACTGAGTGACATTATCGATGATTCTGGCATGGTTTTTCAGTGTGCTGTGTCGCTGATTAGATGAGCAAGATTTATTTGCCAATCTTGGTCTGCTGTGCTGTACCGATCCAATTGTTGGATGTTTCTTTCGATGCCTCGTGAGTGTTTGTGTTCCATCACTCTTCCATTGTCTAGACAAACACTAGGCTTGTGTGCTTGTCTGAATGGTACTGGCATGCTACTATAATGTACGTGACTCAAATTTCTTTGGCAGTCATGAAATATCCAAATATGAAGCAAAGTTGTAGTGTCCTGACATTTGCTAATAGATTTCTTTAGGTATCTGGTACTATCAATGCCAATGGCGCAGGCATGCTTGGAATGCGCTCTGCTGTGGATTAGTAAGAATGTGTGATTTCTTTTGCAATCCTGCTCTGTTGTACTGTAACAATCAAATTATTGAATGTTTCTTTCGGGGCCACATCAGTGTCTGGGGTGCTCTTTTCCTGGCAAATACTTGTCTGGGGCTGCCAATGATCCAGGTGTGCTTAACAGTGCCCTACGTTGCTGTTCTGATGAGATGAGTGTGATTTCTTTCGCGATCTTGGTCTGTTAGACCGTACCTATCCAAAGTACTGAATGTTCTTTTCGATACCACTTGGCTGTTTGTGTGTAGAGCATTTTTTTTTTTGTCTTGACAAGTCAGACACTATATTCATATGCTTGTCTTGTCTGAATGATGCAGCCATGCTTAAGACAGCACACTTTCATGTCGTACATTACATGACTGTGATTCTTTTGCCAATAATGATAACTATTATGGGATATGTGACATGAATCAACGGAGCAGGAATGGGAATGTTTCTTCCGTGAGCTTTGTCTGATGTACTGTAACAACCAAGTTACTGTGTTTTTTCACTGCCAAATGGAGTGTGTTTGTGTGTCGATTAGAGGGTCACTGTTGGGTATGTCTATGGTGGCCTGCAGCTGACTACCTAAATGAATTTGATAACTCTGTCGGTCATTGGGCGTTTTGGTCCTGACAAATACTCGCAGATTTGTACATAGTTGTCTGAGAGACTGACTGGCATTATTGATGATTCAGACGTGGTTATAACTTATACGGTGTGCTGTGTTGCTGATTAGATGAGCAAGATTTCTTTGCCACTCTTGGTCTGTGGTACTGTACCATGGCACTCGTATAATGCACTATAATGTACGTGACTCAAATTTCTTTGCCAGTCATGGAATATTTGAATACGAATCAAAGCTGTGTTTTCCTGACATTTGCTGATAGATTTCTTTAGCTATCTAGTACTATCAGTGGCACTGGCCCGTTGGACAATGTGCTCTGCTGTGAATTAGTAAGAATGTGATATTTGTTTTGCAATCCTAGTCTGTTGTACCGTAATAATCAATTATTGAATGTTTCTTTCAGTGCCACAAGAGTGTTGTGTGTCAATTAGACAATCACTGTCCTGTTTGTCTTGATAAACACTTGATTCATAGTACGAATGGTACAGGAATGCTTAGACACCGCACTGTGCTGTCCGTGACTTAGATTTCTTTGTCAATCATGGAGTATTCTAATATGGTCCCAACTACTAGTGTCGGCACATGAGTTTTCCTTTTCTACTTGGTGATTTACTGTCTGTGTGTTTGGTTTCTTGGTCTGCAGCTGACTACCAAAATGAAGCTGAAGTCAGGTGATGCACTGGCAGAGGCGTTTCAGACCGGACTTGTCAAGAGGGAGGATCTGTTCGTCACAACCAAGGTTATCTGAATTACAGAATGCTACCTTCTCTGTTCTGGAAAACTGCCCTTCCAAATGGATGTGACCATTAAAATTATACCCCATGAATTAGTTTAAAGGATTGCAGCAGTTGGTTTCCCAACCGTATTTAGCATTCAGCAGCTACTGAAAATGAGTCAGTCATACTTAATTCCAATTGTTACCCTGCATTTTAGCATATCTGGAATTGTTATGTTGTTACGGCCAGCATCTGGTGTCATCAGAACCCTGACCTCATATCACTCAATGAAACTAAAGTTGTCTTGTCTTAAACTGGAACACCTGATTTTGACTCAACCACGATGTCACTCGGTCTTTTAATTAGCGGTGGTCTTTTAATTAGCGGTTGTTTCTGAGTTTCCATTCTACTGCAGTTTTTTTTTTTTTTTTTTGGCCCACTCCGTTCCATAACCTTCATGTGATTGGCATCTGTTCTCATTGCAGCTGTGGAACTCAGATCATGGCCATGTGCTTGAAGCCTGCAAGGATAGTTTGAAGAAGCTGCAGCTAGATTACCTCGATCTCTATCTTATTCACTTCCCAGTAGCTACTAGGCATACAGGTAATTTCCTCACCCTTTGCAAGTTTGCATAATATTTAGAAAGATTCAGTGGGTACCTTACAGAAATGTGTATTTCTACAGGAGTTGGCACAACTTCTAGCGCCCTCAGTGATGATGGCGTGCTAGACATTGATACCACTATCTCACTGGAAACAACATGGCATGCAATGGAAGAACTTGTTTCCATGGGACTGGTGCGCAGCATTGGAATCAGGTAAACCGAACCAACATTTTTCTTTGTTTTTGTTGGCACTAGTTTGACATTTGAGATATTTGAGTCTTGGCAAGCTTCCCTTTGTATTATGATTCATTACTTTGACAAAGTAGTAGATAAATATGATCTTACTCTAGTCATAGTTTTGCACATACAGGAACATTTAGTTCATATGTTCCCTTAAGTTTTCCAGCACAAAGTGCAAACACTTGCATGATCTACATGTTCCTTTTATCTGCAGCATGTTTAGAATGGTTTGGTTCTTCCAGACCTCTTCAGTTTCATTGCATATGGTTGCGTGCAAATTCATTCCTTACTCTTGTCACCCTCCACTTTATCTTCATTCCTTTTCTAGTGAAAAGTGCGTGCTTATTTTTCTTGGTCCGTGCTTAAGCAGAATCATGAATGAATGTATTAATCATGTTAAACTAAAGTTTAGGTTGTTACTGTTAGCTAATCTACTGCCACCTTGTGTGAACAAGGCAGAGGAAGGCGGCGCCGACTTAGCCGCCTGCTGTGTGTGAACACAGCAAGGGAAGGCGGCGCCGACTTTGGCCCCTGCTGTGATACAGTAGCCGCTGCAGGTGCAGGCGCCGCACGGCTCACCTGCAGCACTGTAGGAACAAGCAGTGGCCGGCGCAGAGTCAGCCCTGTCAGGTTATCTAGTTACTGTGCCAGCATGGGCGCTGCACATGGACTAGATAGTTAGAGTTGTATAAATAGACATGTATGACAACTCAGTAAATAGAGCTCAGATTTGCCATCACACAGACAGGACTTCGGCCAACGCTGTTGTCTTGTATTGTGCGTGCTTGCTCTGTTCTCCCTTCTTCTTCTAAGCTCGTCCGTAGTGTGTGGGTACGGACAACGCCGGTACGTGGTCTGCACGGCTAGTGGGTGCTCGGCAACACTAGCGCGTGCTCGGCGAGACCGTCAAGTGCTCCACTCGCCTGAGCCGGTGCTCGACAAGATCGGCTGGAGTGGTTCACTGTCGTGAGCCGGTGATCCTGTGAGACCAACGGAGTGGTCTGGAGGCTAACTGTGGGCCAACAGTTATCTCCATTAGAAATTTCAGTTTCTGTTAGCATTTGCTTATGTTTTTTCATTGAGCCCCAATTCTTTCTTTGGGGTAAATGGAAACTGTGTTAGGGTGTTGGATCTTGTATTCTTGTATATCTATCTTCAAGGACCTGTAAATTGGGTGTCAGCTATGCAGTCCAATATCATGTTTTTTGTTTTTCCTAATCCCTTGTTTCCAGACATTGAGTAGCCTTTGTCAGTCCTTGTGTACTAGGAATATTGCTGGTCTTGAAAGAGTAGTTTAGTTTCAAAATAGCCTGAAATATAATAAATCTTACACTGAAATTTTCTTGTTGTCACTTTTTCCATGCTTTTTCCGTGCTTGGAGATTTACTTTTCATGCTGGAGGAAGTCACTTCTTTTACAACAATAACAATACTAACAATTATCGAGTTACTGGTGCAGCAACTACGACATCTTCCTCACTAGAGACTGCTTGGCCTACGCCAAGATAAAGCCTGCAGTAAACCAAATCGAGGTGCACCCCTACTTCCAGCGCGATTCTCTCGTCAAGTTCTGCCAGAAGCATGGGATCTGTGTGACCGCGCATACCCCCTTGGGTGGCTCCACTGCCAACACCGAGTGGTTCGGGTCGGTCTCGTGCCTCGACGACCCTGTCATCAAGGTGGTTGTCATTTCAAATCTCCATTACAGCTCTAGATTATCAAATCACCATCCTTGTCTGACAAAACACATTGTGTTTGGATACCTTGCGATATCATCAATTCTGGTGGCAACAATGCAATTTGCAGAGCTTGGCTGAGAAGTACGGCAAGACGCCGGCGCAGCTTGTCCTCCGCTGAGGTCTGCAGCGGGACACGGTGGTGATCCCCAAGACCTCCAAGGTGGAGAGGCTGCAGGAGAACTTTGAGGTCTTCGATTTCGACATCTCCGGCGAGGACATGGAGAAGATGAAGTCCGTCGACAGGAACCACCGGACTAACCAGCCTGCCAAATTCTGGGGCATCGTCCTGTTTGCTTAGATTATTTCTGCATGCATCTCAGTCTCAGCCTCCCATATGTGTGGTACGGAATAATGAGGATCGCCGATCTCATCATTTTCCATCACGTGTGTGACAGTGTGTGGTTGATGTTGGCCCACATGTTCCATCACTTGTGAGTGTGTGGTTGATGACCGTGTGTGGTTGATGTTGGCCGTCGACAGGAACTACCGGATAACCTATTTTCTTTTAAAAAAATAGGAATTGCTAAAATTCAGGTGCATGAAGGGCGACGGTTATTGCAATTATTTTATATTAAAATTGCAGATTTTGTTCATTGCAGTTTTTTGGGCGTGATCTGTAATTTTTGGCACTGAGAATAAAAAAACACGTTAGAACAAACCCGACGCAACTGGGTTTGTGTGTTTTTTTTTTGTGATCACACAGTATAACTCAGACACTTACAACCCAGGCGTCTTGCTATCGACGAGAATGTTGCCTACCACTAAAAGCACAAACGTCGTTAAATCCTGAAATATTCGCTCCCACGGGGAGTCAAATCCAGGACCTAAGGTGTTACTGAGGTTCTTGTAACCACTAGGCTACATGCCCTTTTGATATGATTTATGTTAGCACAAAGACAATTAACAATTTATAATTATTTCTATAGGTAGACAAAGGCAAAAATTTAATACGTTATGACACAAAGACAAACAACAAATCACAAAAGTAACAATTTACTTATACTAGTTGGTAGTACAAGAGTGTTGCCTAAAATCATCTTAAAATTTAGACATCTTGAATGTGTGAAAAGCGAAGAAAAATACGTGTGTACATACGTATCCATATAATTGCCTTTATTTTATTTTATTTTATTTTATTGGCATCATTTGCCCGGGTCCCGGGCAGCATCATATAATAATATATAAAAATATCAACAATGAGGTTTTTTTTGTTAAACGTGTGAGGTCGATGTTAGCGCTTAACGCTTAGGGCACTCACGATGCAGACTCTATCATAGTTTCTAAGTCTACTTATTACCTTGCTATTTATTGCATTTCGATGATGTGGCACTATGGTCTTGTTTAAATCTAGGGTGTAAAGTTTTGGGGTGTCACATCGGGTGTCATATGAGGGTGTTCATAGGTTGTTCGGATACTAATAAAAAAAGAAATTACAGAATCCGTTAGTAATCTGCGAGACTAATTTATTAAGCCTAATTAATCCATCATTAGCACATATGTTAATGTAGCACAACATTGTCAAATCATGGACTAATTAGGCTTAAAAGATTCGTCTCGCAAATTAGTCACAAATTGTATAATTAGTTATTTTTTTAGTCTATATTTAATACTCTATGCATGTGTCCAAACATTCGATGGGATAGGGAGTAAACTTTAGAGAGAGGAACTAAACAAGGCCTATATTTATTGAGGAGAGAAGAGCAGAAACAAAGAAACCGAGTCTAAAGAAGAAATCGAGTCTACAGAAGAAACGGAGTCTACGGTTGGTTCGAGGCCGGTAGAAATCACGAGAGCCACGTTTGGGGAGAGCCACGTTTGGGGAGGCCAGCGTCGTTTCCATGGATCCCGTACGCCATCCACCCCTGCCGCGGCCGCGATTCCCCTCTTCCGTGCGCCATTCGTGCGCTCGCCCAAGCCCGCCATCTTCCTCGCTAACTGGCTTGAGGGGAGAATGATTGGACTATTTTTATGTGGACTCGGAGGGGAGAAATATTGCATTGTGGAGGATGGTTTCTTAACACACCATCCTAGAATATAGAAACCAGTCCTAGTTTTTGCACTGAGAGTGCTCTTGCTGTCACCACTTTTCCCCCTCTCTTTTTCAGGTTGGCTTCACCATACGTAGCTAGGTTAAGGTCGACTGTCTTAGGGCACGTCTGGATTCATTAATTACTAATAATTATCTAGCAAATAGGTCACAACTAATATTAGCTGCTATTAGCTAGTTTGGTCTAACATCATAACTAATATTAGCCGCTATTATCTAGTTTAATTACTAATAATTATCTAGCTAATAGGTCACAACTAATATTAGCTGCTATTAGCTAGTTTGGTCTAACATCATAACTAATATTAGCTACTATTATTGTCGGGGATCTAATACCAGGGTACCCCAGAAGGTGGAACCGATGACCACCGAACGTGAAAAACTTCTAGATGCATAAGGGCTCCATGTCATCCCTTGTTCGAGTAACAGGAGTTCGGTTCCGCCGCCTGACGCCTTGAGGGCGGGCTCGGTCTCGCCCGAGGGGTGAGGGATGAATTCTGCCTCGCCCGAGCCCCGAGGGGGCGGGTCGCCCACCCGACATCTTTGTAGGATAACCCCGCCGCCCAAAAGCTCAAGGCTAATCTCCGTCTCGCCCGGACGCCTATAGGGCGGGCTCGGTCTCGCCCGAGGGCCGAGGATAAACCCGCCGCGCTCGACGCCTTGAGGGCGGGCTCGGTCTCGCCCGAGGGCCGAGGGATGGATTCCGCCTCGCCTTGAGCCCGAGGGGCGGGTCGACCTCACCCGACGGCCTGTAGCGAGCCTCATACGATCGATATCTATCCCTCATTATAATGGGTACAGGATGAGACAAGACGTTCGGGTCAACCATGGCTCCAACGACCATACCCTACGCCCTGGCAGGAAAAGGACTGCCAGGGAACGACAGGACTGAAGCTTTAGACCCTTCCAGGCGCCGCAGAGCCCAAAAGGTATTACAGGTGCGTGCACCTCACCCTGTAGAGTTGTAGGCGCCGCCTTCAGCTCTGGGACACGGAACCCGACGAAGATATCGACAACCGCTACGCCCAGAAAGGATTTGCTATCTCCACGAACGATGGGTATTCCGTCACCCACACGGTGGACCCGAGGGAGCGGGCGCCCGCTCCCGACCCTCAGTCCTCCCATCGAAGGCCTTGACCACGGCGTACACCGGACCCGACCCCGCATTCTCCCAACGAGGACTCATGAGAACTCAAGGCGTGCAGAGCAAAGGTGGGGAGGCTCATAAGTCAAAACCATCAGATGCAGCCCATATACTGCCAAGCAGGCAGCATTCTCGTGACTAACCCGACATCCTACTGAGACATCGACAACATTGTAAACACTTATCTTCCTTCGCACTCATCGAGTGGAGGACCCGACAGTGTAGACGTGAGCCACAAGACTAAGTAGAGTACGCTGCGTCCTGGAGCCCTTACCCTTGTAAAGCCGGCCCTTCGTCTATAAAGGGGATGCGCTTCTTCCATCAAAGGGACGGAAGAAAAGGAGGACAAAAACAATAGAACGACTCACACACATTCAAGCAGCGACGAAGCTCTTGACCACCTTTCAATCCTTCGATCGTAGACTTGGGACCAGTCCCTCTCTCGGCAGATTTGTATCCCTTACTACGATCGTTACGGTGCTAATAACACAAGCAAAGAACAAACCGGACGTAGGGACGCTTTCGCCCAACCAAAGATAAATCTTGTGTCCTTTAGCGCACCATCCGAGCCTAACGCAGATTACTATAAATTCACTTGCCGGTGCTTGTACGAAACACCGGCGGTTGGCGCGCCGGTAGGGGCTTTGCTTGCGTTCCAAACCAGGTCTCGGATGACCACCCACGCAATCACTGGGGCCCGGGCGCACACGCGTGCGTTTCGGCGACTGGATTTCATCATCACACTAGAAGGAGAGGCGGCATCGACTCACTCACCGCCCCATCTCCCCTTCCATCAACCTCACCGTCCTCAGCTTGAGGGTCCACCGGGCAACTCCCGGGGAGTCCCGTCACCCAAAGAAGCCTCTTACAACGCCACCATGTGTCCGGAAGGGTCCGTATGGGCGCCCGACGGCGCTTCCGTTCGGTCTCCGCAGCGTATGCGGCAACCGTGGCCGTCTTCTGGCGCCACTGGTGGTTCAACCACCCACGGACATCGAGTTCGTGGGGGCGATTGAGCGGGATACGGAAACCCTCACGAGCTCCTCAACGAGGAGCTCATATCGCTCTCCGGCTCGGATTCCAGCAGGGGAGCCACCACCCTTCCCGAGAATGCTACATGACGCAGACCCGAGGGTCACGCCGAAAGCGCCCAGTGGAAGAGGCCACCCCACGAACAATCCTCGGACAGCAGATCCGGGGAAGAAGGGACAGCCCCATCTCGCACCGAGGATGGAGCAGCTAAGGGCTCGTCAAGAAGAGATCGATGAGGCGGGCAAGGGCTCAGACGGGAATACGCGGACATCAATCGCGAGATTGAACGCCGCAAAGAGAGGCGAAGCGCAAGCGCCACAGCCCGCACCGTACATCAAAGGATCCTCACCGACGATGGGGCCTTTCCTCACTTTGCTCGAGCCAGCTAGAACATCGCCGCAGCCGATCGCCTTTTGTCGCATGGTCTCCCGGAGGCCACGACGTCCGAGGATCGACGCGCTTATCGGGAGATTCGTGACGTTGCTTTCGAAGCGCAGCCGCCGCAGAAGAAAGCGGAAAGTTCGTTGTCTCGACGACGCGAACCCGACACTCAGCCGGTAGCGCACTTCTTCGGTGCATCCCACCAAGGACGATCCAGACACTAAACACCGCCCGGCCGGCGGGCAGCCCTCCGTCGTCCTCAGACATCAACGCCTCGGCCGTGGCGCTGACGACGTAGCATCATCGACGCCGGAGACGTGCCCACGGCGACGAGGAGAAGAAGCGCCGCGGCTATCATCCCCGATGTGGCGGGCGCTACGACAAAGAACGAGGACCGAAGCCGAGCCCCGTCCCGCCAGCCCTCAGCCTTTGGCCGACACATCCTCAACGCGCGCCCTCTAAGGTATCGACCGCCACGAACATTCCTAAATATTTCGGCGAAACAAACCCGGGCTTTGGCTCAAGACTATCGGCTTGCATGTCGGCCGGTGGTGCTAGCGATGATAATTTCATTATTCGCAATCTCCATTTGTTCTGGCCGACTCAAAGACGAAGCGTGGTGGAGCACCTACCATCCAATACTATTCAGAAGTTGGGCGGATCTCGATCGAGATCTTCATGGGTAATTTCGGTG